GAGCAAGGGCTGTGCAGGGTGGTGGCGGACGCATGCGGGCGGTGCCGCTGGGACCTTTGGTGGAGCTCCCTATAGGGCTACGAAGCGCTGTTCTGGGTGGGTGAAGCGCAGGGAACAAGGGCTGTGCTGGGTGGTGGCGGACGCAAGCGGGCAGTGCCACTGGGACCTTTGGTGGAGCCCCCTTTTATGGGGCCATGAAACGTGCGAGGGGTGTGCCAGAATGGTGTGTGGAACCGCATGCCAGCGCAGCCACTGGGGCCTTCGGTGGAGCTCCCTATGGAGCCACGAAACGTGTGAGGGGTGTGCCGAAATGGGGGGTGGAACCGCATGCGAGCGCAGCCACTGCGGCGTTCGGTGGAGCTCCCTATGGGGCCACGAGACGTGTGAAGGGCGTGCCGAAAAAAGGGGTGGAACCGCATGCGAGCGCAGCCACTGGGGCCTTCGGTGGAGCTCTCTATGGGGCCACGAACCGTGTGAGGGGTGTGCCGAAATGGGGGGGGACCACATGCGAGCGCAGCCACTGGGGCCTTCGGTGGAGCTCCCCATGGAGCCACCCACGAAGCGTGTGAGGGGTGTGCCGAAATGGGGGGTGGAACCGCATGCGGGCGCAGCCACTGGGGCCTTCGGTGGAGCTCCCTATGGGGCCACGAAACGTGTGAGGGGTTTGCCAGAATGGGGGGTGGAACCGCATGCGGGCGCAGCCACTGGGGCCTTCGGTGGAGCTCCCTATGGGGCCACGAAACGTGTGAGGGGTGTGCCAGAATGGGGGGTGGAACCGCATGCGGGCGCAGCCACTGGGGCCTTCGGTGGAGCTCCCTATGGGGCCACGAAACGTGTGAGGGGTGTGCCAGAATGGGGGGTGGAACCGCATGCGGGCGCAGCCACTGGGGCCTTCGGTGGAGCTCCCTATGGGGCCACGAAACGTGTGAGGGGTGTGCCAGAATGGGGGGTGGAACCGCATGCGGGCGCAGCCACTGGGGCCTTCGGTGGAGCTCCCTATGGGGCCACGAAACGTGTGATGTGCAGCCACTGGGGCCTTCGGTGGAGCTCCCTATGGGGCCACGAAAACGTGCATGCCACTGGGGCCTTCGGTGGAGCTCCCTATGGGGCCACGAACGTGTGAGGGGGTGCCAGTGGGGGGTGGAACCGCATGCGGGCGCAGCCACTGGGGCCTTCGGTGGAGCTCCCTATGGGGCCACGAAACGTGTGAGGGGTGTGCCAGAATGGGGGGTGGAACCGCATGCGGGCGCAGCCACTGGGCCTTCGGTGGAGCTCCCTATGGGGCCACGAAACGTGTGAGGGGTGTGCCAGAATGGGGGGTGGAACCGCATGCGGGCGCAGCCACTGGGGCCTTCGGTGGAGCTCCCTATGGGGCCACAGAAACGTGTGAGGGGTGTGGGGTGGAACCGCATGCGGGCGCAGGTGGACGGTGGAGCTCCCTATGGGGCCACGTGTGAGGGGTGTGCCGCAGCCAGGTGCCTTCGGTGGAGCTCCCTATGGGCCACGAAACGTGTGAGGGGTGTGCCAGAATGGGGGGTGGAACCGCATGCGGGCGCAGCCACTGGGGCCTTCGGTGGAGCTCCCTATGGGGCCACGAAACGTGTGAGGGGTGTGCCAGAATGGGGGGTGGAACCGCATGCGGGCGCAGCCACTGGGGCCTTCGGTGGAGCTCCCTATGGGGCCACGAAACGTGTGAGGGGTGTGCCAGAATGGGGGGTGGAACCGCATGCGGGCGCAGCCACTGGGGCCTTCGGTGGAGCTCCCTATGGGGCCACGAAACGTGTGAGGGGTGTGCCAGAATGGGGGGTGGAACCGCATGCGGGCGCAGCCACTGGGGCCTTCGGTGGAGCTCCCTATGGGGCCACGAAACGTGTGAGGGGTGTGCCAGAATGGGGGGTGGAACCGCATGCGGGCGCAGCCACTGGGGCCTTCGGTGGAGCTCCCTATGGGGCCACGAAACGTGTGAGGGGTGTGCCAGAATGGGGGGTGGAACCGCATGCGGGCGCAGCCACTGGGGCCTTCGGTGGAGCTCCCTATGGGGCCACGAAACGTGTGAGGGGTGTGCCAGAATGGGGGGTGGAACCGCATGCGGGCGCAGCCACTGGGGCCTTCGGTGGAGCTCCCTATGGGGCCACGAAACGTGCGAGGGGTGTGCCAGAATGGGTGTGGGAGGGGGAGGAGGGGGGAGGAGGGAGGAGGAGGAAGGAGGAGGAGGAGGAAGGAACGCGGGGCGACGTCTCTTCAAAACGAGGACCCAACACCACAGGATGGTTGGGAAAAAAGGTGCTTGCCCTCGGGGGCCGAAGGAGGAGCTGGCCTCCCTGCCTCGGCGGAGGCCCGGCGGAAGCTGGCGGAACGAGCACGAGGGTGGCTCCAGCGGCGGAAGCCTCTGCGGAAGGCCTGCGGAGGCCGGCGGAAGGAAAGCAGATGCGCGTCCAAGAGATGGCAGCATGAGCTTCTGGGGGCTCAGCACCGAGCGCGGGCCACCACACTCGCAATAAGTGCCTGCACTCGCAAACGTCCGAAGAGCACGTGTCTGAATCAAAGTGCAATGTTTCGCAAATCGCCTCATGGCGGATCCAGGCCATGCCCAGAGATCCGATGTCGTGATTTTTTAATGCAGGCGTCTGTGGGCGAGCCAGGAGTCTGCAGGCCAGGGCCTGCGACCTTCCAGCTGGAGAGGACGAAGGTCAGGGGCAACGAGAGGGGGGATAGGCATAGGGGGAGAGCATTAAGTCGGGCATGTCCCTCTACAGGAGGGACATTCAAAAGTAGCAAACAATGATTCGAAGCTTGCCAAACCATAGCCACTAGCCGTCAACAAAATAATCCAGCTGGAGAGGGGACGAAGATCAGGGGCAACGAGAGGCCCAGAGATCCGATGTCGTGCTTTTTGTCCATGCGGGGTCCCCGGAAATCTCGACCCATTCCCAAGGACCGGTTCTTCATCCTGAGTCGTTTTTGGACGGTCCCGGGGCCCGGCGAGGGCCGCTAGAGGCTGAAAATTTAGAAACAAATCCATCTTGATTTTTTCAATACGTTGGAGGTCTGGGTTTGCAAGCAGTTCCTCTGCGAGTAGTGGAGCGCGCTTGTCTAGCTCAGGGCCTCCGGGACTGGCGAGTCCGTCGAGGGGCAAAAGCAGCCAGGGCGATGGGCAGCTTCCCATATGGAGGCCCAGGAACCCAGACCCCCGACACGTCATAGCGTTTTGCAGGACGTGGACCCCCAGGGGCCTGGACCTACAACCCAAGGCCGAACAGTCTTCCCTCTTGGACTACAACTTTTAGAACACCGATGGATCTAAGTGGATCTTGTTTCGGCTGTGCGACAGCGTCGTGGGTCATATTTCTGTCTTGCGCGGATCCAACATCCTGCGTGTGAAAACCTATGGATCCATCTCAATTCTGGGAAGATGTTTATATGTATATACATACATACATACTTACATACATACATACATACATACATTCATTCATACATTCATACATTCATACATTCATACATTCATAGAGTCATACATTCATACATTCATACATACATACATACATACATACATACATACATACATACATACATACATACATACATACACACTACACACATACACACATACTAATAGCTAACATCCCAGACCCAGGGGAAAGGGGATCCGCGGGGCACCGCACGCGAAGCATCATGCTATCCACGGAACTGTGGATTTGCTAAATTTGCTGATCCAAACTATTATTCTACGTGGGAGGGGGTCCTCCCAGGACAGAAAGGGCTACATGTATCCACTCGCCTGGACGGCACGTCGCTTCCGACATCTCAAGAGGCAAATCTTTCGGCCTGCGTAAGTATTCCCCAGGACCGGCTATTCATCCGGAGTCGTTTTTTTCAATCCCGAGGGCACGCAAGTAGGGGAAATAATAATGATACAAACGTAAAAACTCAGAGGTCCGCGCGGATTTCTCGGATCCCCGCTGGACCCCCCTGGCGGCGCCTCTGGCGCCGCCTCCTGCGCGCTCTGCGCGCCAGGGGAGAGGGGTCCAGCGCGGATCCGAGAAATCCGCGCGGACCTCCGAGTTCCCATGTTTAGGTCATCCTTCGTTCCCCTAGGAAGGGCCCCCGGAGGCCGAACATAGTGAAAACCCTATGTTGTTTTTGGTCGCGACTCGAGGGGCTCCTGGGAAGGACGAAGCGCGCAGGGATGGCCGACGCTGCCCGAGGGGCGCTCACGGGCGGGCGGGCGGGCGCGCGATCGCGGTCCCGCCCGCCCCGAGTGGTCCTCCCGTTTTCGGTCGAGGACGGAAAAACGGTGTAAACACAAACTTTCGGCGCTGCGTGTGGATCTCTTGATGCCGCTTTAGGTAATTCGTCTTTGCGCGGCCCGCTCTGACTCGACTCGCCGTTTGCGCTGTCGCTTGCGGCTTCTGACTAAAAAGTGGATCTCTTGGATCGGCGCGGGGCCCCCCTGGCGGCGCCCAACCTGACGCGCTCCGCGCGCCAGGGAGGGGTGTGTGGCGCAGACCCAAGAAATCCGCGTGGACCGTCGAAAGCTTTCGTTTATGATGTGTTTGCTCTTTCTTTAGAGCAGTGTGGTCGGAGAAATCTTCGCTGCGTGACTGGAGCCCTCTGACGCGAGAGGTCGCACGGTCCCCTCCCCTGAGGCCCGACGTTGCAAGCAGAAAAATGCAGCAGCGCAGAACATCACCACCAGCACCGATCAGTGGTAGCCCCAAGGCACACGAAGCAAGATGGCCCGTTGTGGCAAAAGTGCAACGTCAGGATCTCAGGTATCCCCGCACCCGCTTGGATTGGCTCAGGGCAGGAAGCACCGACCTGGAATCGGCGAGACATGGCCGACGGCTCTGCGATAGGCCCCCGATAGCGGAACCGCACGTTTCTGGGCGGAGAGGGCCATCAGGCCCCCATCGGCGATGAATGGGCGATCGTTGGCGGCGTCCCCCTTACGGTTGGCAGGTCGACCGCCAAGTCGGCCGGCGCGGCTTCCCCCCGAGGAGGCCGCCGCCGCGGAGGACGGCGCCGCCGCCCTGGCCGTTGCGGGCGAGGATGCCGGCGCTGGCTCGGCGGGGGCCGCGCAGGATCCTCCGCAGCTCGCGGTTTTTGGTTCGAGTTTTGAGTTTCGATGCGTTTTGTTGCTTGTATGCTTTTGTTTGGTTATGTATGTGTGCTTCGTTGCATTTGTATACGTATATATCTGCACACACGCCAGTACGCATCTGTATATATCTGTATATATACACATGTTTGTGTTTGCACATATTGTTGTATATTTCCACACACACATATACGTATGATTGCATGCACTACTGTACGTATTTACGTGCATATAGATATATACATATATATAGTAGATATGAAGATACAAGCGTATATACTTACATGCATCTACACCTTTGTATATACACATCTGTAACTACGCATGCGTACATACATATGATCAGTACGGTAGCTTCTAGCACATCGGCTGCACCACATACTCTACACCTCATTGACGTGTACAGAGTCCTACTACATTTTTGGCACCACATAGCTTACACATGTCGATGAGTACGTTAGCTCCTACCAATTCGATTGCACCACATCGCTTCCATCACACAGCTCACGCCAGATAGACTACACGAACCTCTGTGTGGGGTCCACGCTGGCTAACCTATTTTTTATGTTGATATATATATATATATATATATACACATATACATGTACATATATGTATATGTGCATAGATCGATAGAACGATTTCCCCAAAAAGTGCTTGCATGGAGGTGTTCTTTCTTCCTTTCCCAGGTCACTTGGCTCTAGTGGCGGTCCGGCCGGCTCACCGCCGCCCGCCACCGCCTGTCGCCACCGTCGCCGCTGGGCCCCGGTGGCGGTCCGGCGGGCTCGGCGCCGCCCGTCGCCGCACGTCGCCGCTGTCGCCGCTGGGCCCGAGTTGCGGTCCAGCCAGCTCGTCGCTGGCGGTCACCACTGTGCATTGCATTACACTGGATTGCATCGAATTGCTTGGCATTGCTTTGCCCTGTTCTTTGCATGGTGATGTGTTTTCATGCTGTTGCATTGCGTTGCGTTGCCTTGCTTCGCGTTGTTGTTGTATTACGCTGCATTGCGTCAGCTTGCTGTATTGCTGTATTGCTCTGCATAGCTCTGCATTTCTTAGCATTTCATTGCACTGCGTTCCAATGCTTTGCCTTACTGCGCATTGCTGCGCACCGCATAGTCTGCACAACCTGGACTGCACCACCTCCACTGCACCACGTGCATTGCACTACCTAGATTGCACCTCGTAGACTGCAAGAGTTCACGATTTGGCTAACATGCGCCAAATCTACATAGCAGGGTGTTCGGGAGGCCGGCGCGGTCTGGCGCCCGGCTCCCCGGGACTGCTGGAGCCGAAAAGGCCCGACCCCTGATGGATAACGGTGTGCTCCGATGGCTGGCGTGGTCTGGCGCGGCCCCACCTTCGAGGGGAAACGGCACTGGTGGGACCCGCGGAGTTCAGAGGAGCATACCGCTGCCTTTCGGCCGTTTCCCCTTTTCGAGCCTCTGGGGAGGCCCTCGTCGCCACCGCTGGATTCGCTTCGAAGTTCTGGTCAGAACGCACCCCAGGAGAGGTCCGTGGGGTAGCGGCGTCGGTGCCTCTTCGTTTGCCCAGGAGCGGCGGAGTGGGGTAAGGCGGGCGTGTCTGGTGGAATTGGTGGAGTTGGAGGCGCATGCAGGAGTGAATGTGGGATGCATGGGGTCTGGCGCATCGGGCAGTGTAGGTACGCCTCGCGCAGTGGAAATCCTCGCACACATGCAGGGACTCGCGCATTAGGATTACAGGAGGAGGATGAAGAGGAGGAGGAGAAGGAAGAGGAGGATTGGAAGAGACGGAGGAGGAGGAAGATGAAGAGGAGGAGGAAGACAATGAGGCAAAGAAGGAAGGGGTGTTCCAGGAAAGCAAGAACCCCACTCAGGATGTACGGAAAAAGCCTCGAGGTGAAAATATGCCCCAGGAAATGAAAGGGTGGAAAGCTCCCCTTGGGCTGGCGACGAGTTGTCGGACGTGAAGACAGGGAAAGACATGAGGACCACATCTTCTGCGTGGCATCCTCCCTTCATGGCGACCCCCGTTCCTCAGACGTCGGCTCCCGGACCTTTCCTGCGGTGGTCTCTGAGCCGGATCCCGGAGTGGAGCGCCGCCGCTACGACGACGAGAAAGCTTTCCCGAGGCACAGATAGCCCAACAGACAATGGCTTGGAACCTGGATCCTCGTTCTTCTCTACATCACCACATCCGCTCCAAGTCGGTCCCCAGCCCTCTCCAAATGTCCACCCTGGTCCGTTTTCCTGCTGCTCTCAGCCGCGCTTGCGAGAACCTCCCGAGACGTCCAAAAAAGCCCAAACAAAGCAGACGCCGCCGTCGCCGCCATCGAGGACCTCCTCGCAGCGTAGCTCCGCAGAGGTCTGGATTTCGTCCCGAGTCGTTCCCTGACGGCCCCCATGGGCCCGGCGAGGGGCCCCGGAGGCCGAGGCATTGCCACAAAAGCGTGCCAGCGCGACCCCCTGCCGCGACGCGAGGACGTCTGGGCCCCCTGCAGGACTGCTCCAGGGCCCCGAGTGGCTCTCCTGCAGGAGAGCGCGGGCGTCGCCTCGCCCTGCCCCAAGGGGCCCCAAGGGGCCCGCGAGCGTCGCCTCGCTCCGCCCGCGCAGGAGGCCCCAGACGTGCCGCAGTTCGCGAGCGGCGGCTCGGAGGCGGAGGACGAGGACGACGCCGACGAGCCAGAGGAGGAGGAGGCTGGCGCGCGCGCGGCCCTGGGGCGGATGAAGATCCTTGTCGCCCAATTTCGGGCCCCCGGACCCTCACAGATGGATCCAGGTAGAAAAATTACGCAGAGAGGTCGGGCCTGGGCTTCCAGTCGTGATTTTTGTTCGATGCTGCAATTGCTTTGCAACTTCGGATCTCAGGGATCTTCAGATCTGGGCGTTGCAGTTTTTCCGAACCAGAGGTTTTGCCTTGTTTCGGGCCCCGTGGACATCACGGATCGATCAGGCCTGGAGAACGCCGCAAAGAACATTGTGTTCAGGGTTCTAGTCGGGTTTTTCACGACGTAGCAGGTTTTCGCAACGCTGGGTGTCAGGGCACCGAGACCACTGAGATCGCCGGGTCGGCACTGGAGGAGAAGCAGGGAGACTGTTCTTGTCACTCTCTAGTGCGTAAGGGTCGTAGGGATTCTTACGATCATTACGCTTTCTCCCCCTTCAGGAGGGAGGGGGCGTGGACCCCACCACATCTGGCGCTCGCGCGCAGACTTTGACAACCGCAGCGCGCCCCTCAGCCCCGACGTGCCCCACTCCGTCCAAGCGTTACCGGCACCCGCCCGCCACTCAGGCTACGACCGCTGCCTGGAATAGTGGAAGACCTGAGTCATCCAAGATGCATCAGCGATGCTGTAATTCGCCCTCCCGTCCCAAGTCCCCTTTCTCCCTTCTCATCAGTCACTATCAGTATCCCTTTCCCCTTCAAGAAGCACCCCTCTTAAAGACCAGCGCCCTATGGGCATCAGAGCCCCGCTATGAGAAGGAACTAGCTGCCTTTTGTCCTTACAGCGGGTGACAGAGAACGCGCGAGGGTATGATCATACAGTTCAGTGAGGTGTCGAGTGGCATCCCCTTTTGGGCAAAGGACCGACCCCATCCGTGTAAGTCTTGCAGAAGGCATTTGCGCCGTCCCCCTCTCTCGTCTCTTCTTCCGCATTGTGCGAAATAGCGCTGTGGAGGAAAGGCGCCTCCCAAGCTGCGTGTGGAAGCGGATTTGCCACCATGCGGACCCAGGCGTAGGCTGAAGAGAGAGAGTTGGGACGAGACGATCGGCAGATGCCAAGACCTTGCGCACGTGGAGCGATGCAGGCCCCGAGCACAAAAAACAAAAAGACCCGGCAAAGGCCAAACCGGTCAAACACCTGCCGCTGTGTTTCTTCATGACGCGATGGGTCTGGGGAAGACGGCGGCGACGACGACGACGGCGGCGGCGGCGGCGGCGGCGACGATAGCGGCGGCGACGACGAGCATGGAGGCGGCGGCGACGTTGACGGCGGCGGCGGCGGCGACGCCGCCGCCGCTGCCTCCCGCGCCGCTGCCTGGGCCACCGTGGGCCGCCGAGGGCCGCCGAGGGCCGCGAAGGGCCGCCGACGGGCCGCCGAGTGGCCGCTCGCGGGCCCTCGGCGCCCGCGGGCCCCCGCGCGGGGAGGCGCCCGAGCCGCGCGCTGCAGAGGAGGCTGCCGCCTGCGCGCCCGGGGAGCCCGCGGCGCCCGCGGCGGAGCGGCCCGGGCCAGAGGCGAGCCGTCCGCCGCGGCGTGCGCCGCCGCGCTGGGGCCTTGCCCGCCGCCGCTCGCCGCCGCCGCCGCTCCGCCGCCGCTCGCCGCCGCCGGCGCGCTGCCGCCGCTCGTCGCCGCCGCTCGCAGCCGGCGGCGGCGGGGGCCCGACGGCGCCGCCGCGGCCAGGGCGGGCGGAGAGGCGTGCGCCCGGGGCCCTCCCCGGAGATCCGAGCATATGATTTGTTCAAAATCCGGCGGTTTTTCTTGGATTTCAGCCTCGGCCGGGGGCCCGCCATCGGGCCCGGGTACCATCAAGCACGAATCCGGAACGTCCACCGCCCCCATTGCAGGCGCCAGGGAGGGGGTAGGGGGAGGGGGAACCCATTGTCCTGGAGCAGGGGAGGAAGAGGTCTTGGCATAGAGAGAAGACAAAATCCGTTAAACCAGTCACGCCGTAAAGGGCTGATGGGATTTGTGCAACACGCTCCACTGACAAAAATCAGATCGCTGGTGGTCTGGGGCGGAGGGTGAGCAGCCTGCCCCAGGATCGTGTGATCGGGACTTGGGGGGACCCCGCACCGAGAAAGCCAAGAACTCGGATCTCTGCTGGCAGCCCCTCGCTTCACAGAAGGGAAGGTTACCCATACTGCTACCCTCGCCTCGTGTTCGCCTTCTCGCGCCTCCCGCCACCGCTGCCTTCGCCTCGAACTCCTGGCCCGAGCGCACCCCAGGCGAGAGGTCCGGACTGCAGCGGTGTCGGCACACTCGAGTAGGAGGAGCGGCGGGGGCGTCATGGGCCCAGCTTCCTCCTCCTCCTCCTCCTCTTCCTCCTCTTCCTCCTCCTCTTCCTCCTCCTCCTCCTCCTTCTCCTCCTCCTCCTCCTCCTCCTCCTCCTCCTCCTCCTCCTCCTCCTTCTCCCTCCATCCATCCTCCTCCTCCTCCCCCCCTCCCTCCCTCCCTCCTCCTCCTCCTCCTCCTCCTCCCTCCCCTCCCCTCCCCTCCCTCCTCCCCCTCCTCTCCTCTCCTCCTCCTCCTCCTCCTCCTCCTCCTCCTCCTCCTCCTCCTCCTCCTCCTCCTCCTGTACCCCATCGATGGCCGACTCGCGGGCGGCGCGCGCCGCGCAGGCGCCGGACGGCCGGGACGGGGGCAGCGAGGCGCTGCTGCGCTTGCTGCTGGTTTGGTACCTCTCCGGCCGCGGCCCCCCAGCGGCGCCCGGCGGGGCCGGCCGCCGACCTCTTGAGGAGAGGGAGCAGGAGGAGGAGGAGGAGAGGAGGAGGAGAGGAGGAGGGAGGAGGAAGAGGAGGAGGAGGAGGAGGAGGAGGAGGAGGAGGGAGGAGGAGGAGGAGGGGGAGGAGGAGGAGGAGGAGAGGAGGAGGAGGAGGAGGAGGAGGAGGAGGAGGGGGGGAGGGAGGAGGAGGAGGAGGAGGAGGAGGAGGAGGAGGAGGAGGAGGAGGAGGAGGAGGAGGAGGAGGAGGAGAGGAGGGAGGAGGAGGAGGAGGAGGAGGAGGAGGAGGAGGAGGAGGGGGAGGAGGAGGAGGAGAGAGGAGGAGGAGGAGGAGGAGGAGGAGGAGGAGGAGGAGGAGGAGAAGGGAGGAGGAGGTCGAGGAGGAGGAGGAGGAGGAGGAGGAGGAGGGAGGAGGAGGAGGGGAGGAGGAGGAGGAGGAGGAGGAGGAGGAGGAGGAGGAGGAGGAGGAGGAGGAGGAGGGAGGGAGGGAGGGAGGGAGGGAGGGAGGGAGGGAGGGAGGGAGGGAGGGAGGGAGGGAGGGAGGGAGGAGGGAGGAGGAGGGAGGGAGGGGAGGGAGGGAGGGAGGGAGGGAGGGAGGAGGAAGAGGAGGAGGGGGAGGAGGAGGAGGAGGAGGAGGAGGAGGAGGAAGAGGAGGAGGAGGAGGAGGGCCTCCTCGTCCTTCCTTCTCTCCTGTCCTACATATTGTAGTGCTGGTGGAAACTTTGCCCATCACCTCTGCCCGAGCTTATTGCAGGGTCGAGGATGAGGTCTGCCTCCGCCCTGCAGCTTCCTTCGAGGTTCGAGGTTTTCAGGCGTGCTCGTCCGTTCCTGGAGGTGCTCCCCCCTCTCGGGATGCGTTTCAGCAGCTGCGCCTCGCCGTGGGCGTTCCCGAGGGTGCCCGAGTCGTCGCGAATGGCCGCTGGAGACGGAAGATATTGCCCGAAAGCCGAGTGACCGTTCAGGGTCCTTTTGGATCCGATCGGTCAGGCTCGATATCGACTTCGGCCTGCCCGATCTGATACAATTTCGACACATTCCGACGATGCGATGCCTCCCGATGTTTGGACGGCGTCGTTGATCATCCTGGCGCGGCCGATTCGACTGGATTCCGACTCCGTACTGTTGCGGCCCGATTCGATGCACGATCCGATCCGATTTCTCAATTCGATGCTGGTTGGCCCTGCGACGTTGACGTCGATTTCCGTTTCCTTCGTTGCTTTTGCTGTTTTTGTTGTAGTGGCCTTTTTGTGATTTCTTGTTTGGCTCTGGATTCGCCCCAGAAGTCTGGTCGGAACGCACCCCTGGGACAGACCGACTGATCCACCCGTCCTCGAATCGGAGTTTTGTGGGCGTCTCTTGAAGTTTTCGTCGCCACGGCGCTGGGACGGATTGTGGGAGACGTCCGTGACTCAATTCTCAATTTATTGTTGTCGGGAGCTTGTGCCGCCCACCAGGGCCGCCGCCCCACAGCAGTCCTGGGCATCCAGCCCCCCCACACTGCCTGCTGTGGGGGAACGCTGGAGGCGCCGACGGACGACGATTCTCGAACGACGTCGACGACGGATGGCGGACGACGGTCGAACGACGTCGGACAGCGAGCGATTGTGATCCGATGCAGGTCCGTGCGGACATCGAATGCTGCTGCATGTGCGGCCACTCGGCGCCGCGTGAGGCCTCTGAGAGGCAGGCCACGGCTGCGAAGGGGGAAGCAGCGCTGCCGTGCTGCCGCTGTCTGTCTGTGCCCCCCCTGCCCCGCCCTGCTGTTTTCCATCTGGGACGCTCTGGAGGAGGCCTCGTCCTCGAAGCCGAGGCCTCCTCCAGAGCGTCCCAGGTCGGCGAGGCCTCCGCCTTCGAAGCCGAGGCCTCCTCCTCTTTCGGCGAGGCCTCCTCCTCTTTTGAAGCCGCTGTCTGTGCCCTCTGCGCTCCTTCTCCTTTGTTCCATCTGATCGGCGCAAGAAGAAAACGAGGTCGTCTTCGCCGACGTTGGTGCGTAAACTTACCAGCCTGGAGCATATCCCTATCCCTATGCTGGGAACCTCCTCATCACGATGCCAATCTTAGGGATTCCCTAATTTTTGAGGGCGAATCCCTAAGATTGTCATCGCCTTTTGGCGTGTCGATCTTAGGGATAGGGATACGTCCGAGGCAGGGAATAAACTGCGCGCGCAAGTTCGTGCGTAGCTCAGCGCCCTCGCCCCGCATGCGGCGCTCCTCACGGGCGGCCCGCGCGAGTCGCCGCGCAGGGTCACTGTGCCAGCGCGCGCAGGACCTGTTTTGGATCGTCGCTCCTCTGGGAGGCTCCGGAGGAGAGGCCTCGGCCGCGGAGCTCCGCCGCTCCCGGCGGAAAGCAAGCCCGCGGGCGGCCGGCGAGAGCGCCCACGGAGGCAGCTGCAACTCATAGCCGGAGAGGCGGCGGGCCCGCGAGCGGAAGGCGGCGGAAGCAGCAGCGGCGCGTCGGCATGCGCCGGCTACGATGAAAGTCGGGCGCGTCCTTCTACAGGAGGAAGATCCAAAGATAGTCCAGCGATGATTTGTCGGGGGTGGACAGAACCCCCAACAGTGACACGTCGATTAGTGAATTGTCCGTTTTCGGTTTTCGTGAGGGCGCCGTGGCCGTTATTTTCCAGGCTTGCGCCCGCCAGGTTTGGGCCCGAAGTCGTTTTCACTAAACCACGTTTTACTAAAGGGAGGTTTGTCCATCCCCGAATTTGGGGACGATGTTTCCATGATGTTGGATGATGTTTGCAAATGGCTTGGCTGTTTTTCAATCCTCGTCCTTTGGTTATGTTGTGCTTACTCTTGTCTAAGAAGTAGGGGGGCTTCCTGAAGCTCCCCTGCTTCTTAGAATGGGGGAACGAACAATGACAGAAACATAACATCTCGGAGGTCCGCGCTGATTTCTCGGATCGGCGTTGGGGCCCCCTGGCGGCGCCTCCGTCGCCGCCCCTGGCGCGCTTCGCGCGCCAGGGATGGGGGGTCCAGCGCGGATCCAAGAACTTCGCGCGGACCTCCGAGTTTTTATGTTTATGTAATTTTTCGCTCCCCTATGAAAGGCGCGGGCCTTGTCTGTCAGGGCCGGCGTCTTCTAATAAGCAGGGGAGCTTCTAAGAAACCTCCCCCCCAATCGATCGAAGTCACATTTTTTTGGTCGCAGCGGCGAGGGTCCTCGCCGTATTCGAAGGCATACGTGGGATGCACGTGGCCGAACTGGGCACGGCGGGCGGCGGGAGGGAAGGGAGCGCTCGGAAAGGGAGGAGAGCACATTCAGAACGTGAAGTCCTCGCCCAGCGGTCGTTGAAAGCAGGTACTTTTGGATTCCCAGAGGCCACCTGATTACTTGGAGCGCCTTCCTACTTCAAGAGTCGAGTGGCTCTCACTCTTCCCTCCTTCAGGAGGCGGTCGGGAGCCCAATCTACTCCCAACGCCTTCCTGCTTCATGCTTCTACCTGCACCTGCTTTTCCCGACCGGCGGGTAACCATGCGTGAAGCAGCCTTGTGCGCGCCGCCGAACTCCTGCGTGGAGCCGAACCTGTGGTCTCGGGGCTTCCGCGGCCGGACCTGCACGCGGGGGCGGCGCGCGGGCAGGCCCCTCTCGGTGAATTGCGCCTCGCGGGGGGCCAGCGCGGCAGATTTTGCACGTCTCGCTGCGCAGCGTCGCTCGCAGCCCCCGCGGGCCCCGGATGGACCGGCGCCTTGCCAAGCGCCCGCGGCTTTGCGCTGCGCCTGTTGCCCGCTCGTCAAAGAGGGTGTCCGTGCGCGCGCATGCCTCTCCGCAGATCTCAGACCCAGACCTCCTCGAGTCATGACACAAATCACGACGGGATCGCTGCTCTCGGCCTCTAAGGACCCGAGGCCTCGGGACCGTCGAGATTTAAAACGACCTGGGGTGAAAAACAGGCCCTGCCCAGAGATCCGATGTCGTGATTTTTTCACTGCGGGGTCCCTGGGAGTCTCGACCCATTCCCCAGGACCGGTTTTTCATCCTGAGTCGTTTTTTGACGGTCCCGGGGCCTGGCGAGGGCCGCTAGAGGCCGAAAGTCAAGGAAAACCTATGTTCTGTTTCCTCAATGCGGTGGAAGTCTGGGTGGGGAATGGGTCGAGACTTCTGGGGGTCGACGTCATGAAATGGCATGACGCTGGGGGTCTCGGAGTCTCGAGGCGGACCCGGGCGTGGCGGTGGGAGGCCTCCCGTGGGGAGGCCCGGCAGAGGGGCGAGCGACAGGGAGGACGGTCCGCACGGGGCCCCGGGCGATCTGAGGTCCTGGCGCTGCAATTTTTTGCACAACGGGCGTGTTCGCTCAATCGTCGGGCCCCGGGGCCCTTACATCTCGATGCGGTTCGAAGAATGACACAGAGAAAGATGGGGTCCGGGGCTCTGGGCGTGATTTTTTGCGATGGTGCATTTTTGTTGTAGCGTCGGATCTCAGGTGATAGTTTTTTCGATTTATTTCGGAGGTTGATCGACCTCCTACCCTGACACGTCGACGAGCGAATTGGCCGTTTTCGGTTCGCGAGAGGGCCTCTCGGCCGTCATTCTTGCGGGTCCAAGTCTGTCGGTTTCGGTCTTAGGCCGTTTTCACTCAAGGGTGCTTTTCTGAAGGGACGTCCCCCGCCGATTATTGCTTTGCCGATTGGCGAGGGCCCTCGCACCCCCCCTCCTCCCCCTCCCCGGAGGACATCTCGGGACGCTCTGACTGCTTCAATCCCGACGTTGCCCTGCGACACTGCGGCCCTCGGGGGCCGTTGTCAGGCCCCGGGCCACAGGATCATCGCAGAGGGAGGGCGGGACCTCGCACCCCCCTCCCTGGAGTAGCTCTTGGCTGTTTTTGACACTCGTTTCGAGCAGGCGGAGCCCCTCCCCCCCACAGGACGCACTGCTGCCAACAGTCGCGCGAGGCAGAGGTCCAGAGCCAGATCCCCCCCCTCCCCCCCTCCCCCGTCTTCCGCCCAATGTCGAAGCGCCAAACGAAAAAACCCTCACCTGGGGGAAGTCCCGACCCGTCCCCCCTGGGGCTGGCGTCTCATCCCGAGCTGGTTTCCGACAGCCCCGCGGGTCCCGGCGGAGGCCTTTGGGCGCCGAAGGCCACGACAGTCTTCCGCCTCAGTTTGCCAGCTCGAGCTGGACGTGTGATTCGCCAGTCCGCAACCCCATGGCCGCGTGCCCCGCGTGGTCTCTCGCGACGCCCACGACAGTCTTCAGGAGGGGAAAAAACGCACAGACACAATGAAGCGTCGATGCCCAGAAGATATGGGGAAATATGGGAAGTGGGGGGGGAAGACGAACACCGGGAAAATATGGGAAAATGTGGGGGATCCTTTGATTCGTGCGTATTTCTGTGTGTGTCCCAGGGCCCCTTCAAGTCTTCCGCTTCGGTGTTGCCAGAGAAGCTGGACGTGTGATTCGTCCATCCGCAGCCCCAGGGCCGCGGGGGGCCTCTCGTGGGGACCGACCTCGAAAAAACAGACACACCGCAGCAGTCGAGACGGGCACCTCTCGCCGGAGATCCGGGGAGACGCCTGCGCCCCGACGGCGGCGACCACGGCGGCGACGCCCTGCGACCGCTGCGGGGCCGGCGTCGGGGGGCGCCCGCCGAGGCCCCTGGCGACCGGAGGGGCAGCCCTCGGGGGCCGCCGGCGCTGGCCACTGCTGGGCGAGGCTGGCGCGGGCAAGCGGGGGGGCAGCAGCCCCGCCTGCGTCGGGGGCGGGGCCAGCCGGGAGGGGCGCTGAGACGAATCACCCAGGACGTGGCGCGTCGTCGAAGGATCAGGACGGCAAGTGTTTCATTGTCTTCGGCCCTTGAGGGCCCTCGCTGGGCCCCGGCCCGGGCCCGTCAAAGAACAGCTCAGGATGAAAAACAGGCCCGGGGGAAAAGGGTCTGGGTTTCCAGGAACGCCGTATTGAATTAGCCTGTCAAAGGACCCAACCACATGCAGTTGTGCGAACGTGAGCTCCGTTTGCAAATACCGTATTCATTGGAGCTCCTTGTGGGGCCGCGAAACGTGTGAGGGGTGTGCCGAAATTAGTGAGGCGGACGCATGCGGGCGGTGGCTGGGGCATTCGGTGGAGCTCCCTCTGGGGCCACGATGCGTGTGAATGGTGTGCCGAAATGGGTGTGGCGGTCGCATGTGGTCTGCGCCACTGGGACCTTTCTGTGGAGCTCCCTATGGGGCCACGAAACGTTTGGGGCGTGCGCCGACATGGGTGTGGCGGACGCGTGCGGGCGGTGGGGCCTTCGGTGGAGCTCCCTACGGGGACACGAAACGTGTGAGGGGTGTGCCGACATGGGTGTGCGTGACGCATGCGGGCTGCGCCACTGGGGCCTTCGGTGGAGCTCCCTATGCGGGCCACGAAGCGTGTGAGGGGTGTGCCGAAATGGGTGTGCGTGACGCATGCGGGCTGCGCCGCTGGGACCTTCGGTGGAGTTCCCTATGGGGCCACGAAGCGTGTGAGGGGTGTGCCGAAATGAGTGTGCGTGACGCATGGGGGGTGCGCGCCACAGGGACCTTCGGTGGAGCTCCCTATGCGGGCCACGAAGCGTGTGAGGGGTGTGCCGAAATGGGTGTGCGTGACGCATGCGGGTTGCGCCACTGGGGCCTTCGGTGCAGCCCCCTTATGCGGGCCACAAAGCGTGTGAGGGGTGCACCGACGATGATGAGGAGGAGGAGGATGCTGACGGTTATGATGATGGCGGCGATAGCGACGATGATGACGACGATGATGCTGATGATGACAATGATGATGTTGATTACGATATCGATGCTGCTGTGATGATGATGATGATGATGATGATGATGATGATGATGATGATGATGATGATGATGATGATGATGATGATGATGAGGATGAGGATGAGGATGAGGATGAGGATGAGGATGAGGATGAGGATGAGGATGAGGATGAGGATGAGGATGAGGATGAGGGTGATGATGATGACGATGACGATGACGATGATGATGCTGCTGATGATGATGATCATAATGCCGATGATGATGATGCTGCTGCTGGTGATGATGATGCTGATGATGATGATGATGATGATGATGGTGGTGATGATGATGATGATGAAGATGATGAGAATAAGAGGAGGGAGGGGGAGGACGAGGAGGAGTGACGCGGGGCGCTGTCTCTTTAAATCGAGGACCCAACACCACAGGATGGTTACGGCTGGGTACGGGCGGGTGGCTGGGCTGGCTGGGTACGGGCGGGTGGGCAGCATGGCCAGGGCCGTGATGTCTCGCCAGGCTTCATGGCCCCCTCGTTGTCTCTCCGTGCGTCCCCTGGCCCCCCCCCCTCCCCTCGTCATGCCTCGGGCCATGACTTGCGATGCCCCCACTTGGACAATCTCATGGACGCTCTCCTCCTCCTCCTCCTCCTCCTCCTCCTCCCTCCTCCTCCTCCTCCTCCTCCTCCTCCTCCTCCTCCTCCTCCCTCCCCTCCTCCTCCTCCTCCTCCTCCTCCTCCTCCTTCTCCTCCTCCTCCTCCTCCTCCTCCTCCTCCTCCTCCTCCTCCTCCCCGGCCATCCTCGCGCCGCCAGAGAGAAACAAAACACTGCACAGCGTCTGCTGCTCCCTTCCGGCTTCCATGGGGGGGCCCTGACGCTGGGGCCTCCATAGGGGGCCGTCAGAAGCGCCGACTCGGCATATGAGAGGCCAGCCCCGGGGAGGGGGCCCAGATGATGGGCTTGTTTTCCACCACCACCACCACCATAAGCCTCCTCCTCCTCCTCCTCCTCCTCCTTCTCCTCCTCCTCTCTTCTTCCTCCTCCTCCTCTCTCCTCCTCCTCCTCCTCCTCCTCCTCCTCCTCCCCCCCCTCCAACTTATGGTGGTGGTGGTGGAAAACAGGCCCATCACCAGACGCTTGGGGGGCCACGCTGGGAACGGATCAAGACGTTGGATGTCTGGGCTGGCCAGCAATCCTCCCGTGTCCTAGAAGATCGGGTCCCCACCCTGCCAGGTGGCCCCGAACGCATGGGAGGGTACAGAGGGGCCCCCCCTGCGGGGTTCCCTCCGGCACCTCTGGCCGGGACGCACCTCCGGAGAGGTCCGAGGGTTGATCTTGAGGTCCGAAATCCAGACTTTTGGCTTGGCGACTCGAACACATCGCGCTAAAGGGGGGCCGTGACTTCCAGCCGCTGGGGGCCGTTTCCCAGCATGGAGAGAAAACCAATCAAGATACAGTCGGGGACCCCTCCTTAAGTTGTGCAACGACCACTATGATACGTCGGTGGGGATTCGGGGTGGCCGCACGGTTTTGAGGCTTGGGTCGTTCACCGAAGACGTCTCGTCTGACACGACTGGTGCTTTCGAGGTCCCCAAACCGTGCGGTGACGGACCGTGTGGTGAAGGTTGTTGGGAGTTTCGAGGTCACCGCACGGTCTGACACCGCACCGTTTCGGGACCCCCAAGGCTTTTCAGATTCGCACCGTCTTTAATAGTAATAGAACATAGCGACGGCGTTTCTTCGTCGAGTTCAGCGCCCGCTGATTTCCGACGATAAGAATGCTTGTTGTTCGATCTTGGTGTTTTCCATAGATTTTGGCCTCTGGGGTCCTTGTCGGCTTGTCGGGCCCCAAGTCCATTACAAATGCGGGACACAGTTTTCCCCAACAGAGAGGGTCGAGACCTCTGGGGCCACGCTTTGAAACATCTCATTGTCGGATTGTCTTAAGACCGATTTCGGGCCCCAGCGGCAAGCGAGCCGCGACGAAAAAACGGTCGAGATGTCTGTGGATCTTTCACAGGACATCAAGGCATCAAGGCATCAGACCCTGGGAGGGGAGAGGTCAGCATGAAAGGGATGGGCTCCCGAGAGGAAGGGTCTTGCGTTGTTGCTGCCGCTTCCGCTTCTTGGAGCCGTTTGACGGGTCCCGGTACAGTCGAACAGGCTTCGGAACGAAGAGCTAGTCCCAAGGGGAAGCCTTGAGGTCCAGCACCCACTTCCACCAAGTCTTAGAGCGAAGAACTGGTCCCAAGGGGAAGCCTTGAGGTCCAGGACCAGCTTCCACGAACAAGCTTTGGACGAAGAACTGGCCCCAGGGGAAGCCCCAAAGGTCCAGGACCCACCTCCACAAGGACACCTCTTGCTCTGGAGGGGCATGCCGCGCGGCCGGGGTGCCCAGCAGTCCGCAGTGGGCGCTCCGGCGCGGCGCGCGGGAGAGCGGCAGGGACGCGCTCAGATCTGCACGAAAGAAATGGGCACGGAAAGAATGGGTACAATGCCCAACAGCGGATCTGGTTCATTTCGAACAGGACTCGCTGTCCACGCCGCCGCGGCCTGTGTCCATTCGAGACAGAAGGCCGCCTGCCCAACAGAGGCTTCTGTTGGTTTGGGACAACATTTGTTGTTGGGCATTGTACCCATTCTTTCCGTACCCATTTCGGGCGTCCAAATCAGAGGCGGCAGGCCACGCGCAGCTCCCCGGGTGTCGACCCGGTCCCGCGCCGACGGGGTGCCCACGACCGCGGCGCCGAAAGGCGGGCACCCCAAGGGCCCAAGGGACGTCTGAGGGCTTCGACCAGTCGATCCCGGATGATCGATCCTTGTGGGCTAGGGGGCTCTGGGAGGAGGAGGAGGAGGAGGAGGAGGAGGAGGAGGAGGAGGAGGAGGGGTGTCCCAGATTTTGGATCCTAGAGTCGCTATCCCCTTCGATCCCAGTTCATATTTGCACCCCCCCCTCTTGGACACCCCCCTCTTGGCCGCTCCCGAGCTCAGAGGCGGCAGGCCACGCGCAGCTCCCCGGGTGTCGACCCAGTCCCGCGCCGACGGGGTGCCCACGACCGCGGCGCCGAAAGGCGGGCACCCCAAGGGCCCAAGGGACGTCTGAGGGCTTCGACCAGTCGATCCCGGATGATCGATCCTTGTGGGCTAGGGGGCTCTGGGAGGAGGAGGAGGAGGAGGAGGAGGAGGAGGAGGAGGAGGAGGAATAGGAGGAGGGGTATCCCAGATTTGGGATCCTGGAGTCGCTATCCCCTTCGATCCCAGTTCCCTTCAGGGGCCTCCGGGACATCCGCGGCGGAACATTGGAGGCGCCTCCTCGACGACGACGACAGTTTCAACATCTCGACGACGAATTCAACGACGTCGATGACGCCGACGCCAGCGCCGACGTCGACGTCGACGTCGCCAGCGCCGTCTCCGACGCCGACGCCGACGACGACACCGACGCCGACGCCGGACCGACGCCGACTTCGACGACGACGACGACGACATCTCGACGACAAGTTCGACGACAATTTCGACATCTCGACGACGCATTCGACGACGCCGACGACGACGCGACGCCGACGCCGACGCCGACGCCGACGCCGGGACGACGCCGACTCCTACAACGACGCCGATTCTAACGACGACGACGACGTTGACGACGACGTCGACGTCGACGTCGACGTCGACGCCACGCCGACGCCGACGCCGACGCCGACGTCGCCTGCGCCGACGCCGACGCCGACGCCGACGCCGACGACGCCGACGCCGGGTCGACGCCGACTACGACGACGCCGACGACGACCACGACGACGACAATTTCGACATCTCGACGACGAACTCGACGACGTCGTCGACGACGCCGACGCCGACGCCGACGTCGACGTAACCAGCGCCAACACCGGCGCCGACGTTGACGCCAACGCCGACGCCGGGACGACGCCGACTCTAACGACGACGACGACGACGACGACGACCACCACCACCACGACGACGACGACGACGACGACGACGACGACGATGACGTCGACGTCGACAACGACGCCGACGCCGACGCCGACGCCGACGCCGACACCGACGGCGACGCCGACGCCGCCGCCGACGCCGACACCGACGGCGACGCCGACACCGCCGCCGACGCCGACGACGACGCCGACGACGACGACGAACGAAGACGACGACAACGACGACGAACACGACGACGACGACGACGACGACGACGACGACGACGACGACGACCGCAACACGGGCAGCGGCCAGATACGACGGGCCGCCCGCGGTGGAGGCCTCGGAGGCGGCACCGCCGACGTGGGCGCTGGGGCTGACGGCGCCCCCGTCGTTGACGCTGTCGATGTCGATGGCGTCGACGACGCGGCCGTGCACACGCGGCGACGGGCGACGCTGGCGGCGGCGGGCGGTCGCTGTGAAGAGGCTGAGAAGCGGCAGCCTCGCGCGGGGCGCGTGCCTCTTCGAGGCCTCGCAGCGGCTCGTGCTGGCCTGCCTGCAGGGCCCCGGTCGGCCCCCGCCCACGGGCGGGCCGTTTGTGGCGAGCCGGCCGCCGTCGCCGCCGCTGCTGCCTGTGCCGTCGTCGTCGCCGTCGTCGCGGCTACGAAGCGCTGAGCCGCTGCCGTGGGCTGCGGCAGAGCCGCGCCGGCCGCCGGCGTCCGCCGCCAACGCCGTTCGCCGTCGTCGCCGGCGTCCTCGTCGCGCGGGACTGGCCGCCGTCGCTGCCGCCGCCGGAGCTGCCGTCGCCGTCGTCGCCATTGGCGCCGTCGTCACCACGAGAGCCTCCAAAGCCTCAGCCACGGGCGGGGCTGCGCCGCCCTTCGCCGCTGGCGTCGTCGGCCGAGGGCGCCGTTTTTTTGCCCGAGGGCCACGCGGGTGGGTCGAGGTGGGCCTTCGGTGTCGCGGGGCGGAATCTTGGTGTGTAGTCGGGTGGGGCGCGGCTGGGTCTAAGGAGGGAAAAAACACACAGACATAATTTATCGTCGGCTCCCAGAAAGTATGGGAAACTATGGGAAGTGTGGGGGGGGGAGGGCAAAAACAGACAAAATATAGGAACATATGGGGGACCCTGGGATTTGTGTGTATTTATTTGTGTGTCCCTGGGCCCCTTCAGGGTCGCGGGGCGGATTGTGGGTCTCGGGCAGGTCGCGGGGCGCGTCGCGACTGTGTGTCGCAGGTCGGGTTGCGGGTGTGTTGTGGGGCGGGTCGCGGGTGGGTCGAGCCGGGTCGCAGGTGCGCGGCGTGGTGGGTCGCAGATGCGTCGCGTGAGTCGCAGGTGCCGCGCGGGGCGGGCCCTGGGTGGGTCGTGGCTGGGCTGCAGGCAACAACGAAAATCCACACCGTCAATCCGACGTCGGCCATGCACCCAGGGACACTGCAAGACCGCTCGGCCCCTCCCTGACCAAGCGTCTGAAAGCCGCTTCTCCAACAAAAACATAGACACCTCTCTCATCATCCTTGCCGTCGTCTCTCCGAAAACCTTTTTTGGGAACTGCTGACGTAGTCACTTCCTTCAGCCTCCCTCCTCAGCGGCACCGCTCACCAGCCCACTATCGGCGGCGAGCCCCAGGGGGGAGTGATGCGGCGGGTCTCCTCAGAAGGCCTCCGGCCTAGTGAGAAGCCGTCTCTGCCGTCTCTGCCCTCCGACAAGGTGTACGGTCGGGGCCCTGAGGAAGGAACACTTTTCGTTGGGGAGGGGCTCCGCGTTCCTTAAGTGTTTCGCAGCTAGCCTCAGGTGTTCCTTCTGTTTTCGGTGGGAAGTCGAAGTCTAACTTATGAAAAAAAGGGGCCTCGTTCCTTCTTTAGGGTTCCTTAGGTCAACGCCCCGACTGTAATTAGAAAGCTTCTCAGAAGGCGCGAGGGCTTCTTCGAAGCCCTGCCGCCTTCTGACAAGGCCTGCCCCCTCTCACTTCCCCCGGGCCCGCCGCCGATCGTAGCACCGCTCACCACCTCGCCTACAACATCTCTCCGCCGCGCCGCCCCTCCGAAACCCGTGGAGAGCAGCCGCCTCCAATTCCTCCTCCCTCCCCCGGCTCTCACAAGGTCCCTAGGGGTCTCCGGCGGCCTCCAGAGGTCCTGCGAATTATCCTCGTCCTACTCCCCTCTTCGTCCTCTTCCCCTGCGACCCGGACCCACCATCCTCACTGCGTCCTCCCGCGCCCAGAGCTGTAGAGTCCAGGAATTCGCAAGAAGTGCCGGCGCCTGCCGCCCCTCCACATCTCCAGGCCTCCCCCGACCCATGATCTCGCGATGGCCAGCGCCCTGGAAAGCCAAGTGCGAATCGAGGTGAGGGAGTGGTCAGAGCACTCGCCCCTCACTCAGGGGGCAACGCTCAGGGGGGGATGCAGCGACCCCCATTGGCCCATTGGTCGCGGATGGGGGCCTGATAGCCCCCCACCCCGCCCAACCGTCTTCCTGCCGGGGGCCTACAGCGCAGATCCATCGGCGACGTATCGCCGAGGAGGAAAATCAAACAATAGTGAAACAATCATGCGGGGATGATTTTTTAAAGCATTTTTGTTGGCTATCTTGGGGCATTTTGGGGGTATGTTTTAGTTTTCGTCGAAAGTCGGCCGACCTGAAGCCAGTCCCCCCGACCCCTCCCCCCCTCAGGAGTCTTCCCGAGACTTCCCCCCCCTCCCCCGACCTAAAGCCTTCCCGAGTCTTCCCGGGTCTTCACGAGTTCCCCCCCCCTTCCCGAGCCTTCCCGACCCAAAGCCAGTCCCCCCCTCCCCCCCTAAAAGAGACAGCGACCGAGACTTCCCGGGGGTCCGCGCGGACTTCTTGGATGGGTGCGATGGGCCCTTCTGGCGGCGCGTCTGGTGTGGCCCGCCAGCGCACTCCGCGCGCCAGCCAGGGGGGGGTTCGCCGTCGATCGCAGAGAGATCCGCGCGGACCTCGAGGATGTCCCCCACAGGCCGATTTTCGACGAAAACATAAAAATATTCAAACAATAGCCCCAGATAGCAACAGCAAAAAAATGCAACAAAAATCGTCCCAAGATGTTTTTGTTGCATTCTTTTTTGGGATTTTCCTCCTGTCGAGGGACCGGCCAGTCGTAAGCCTGGCTGCGCGCGACGGCCCGTCCTCTTCGTCCACGTCCAGAACTGCAGCGGCATGAGATCCCTAGAACGGGCACGCCGAAACTGCAAGGAAGCTGTAGGCCGCGGGCGACAGTCTGGGCCACTTGGCCGAAAGCCGTCGTCATCGTCGTCGCGGCCACCTGCATGCCTTGGCACAGCGGTCGTGGGGGTACTTGGATACTTCCGTGCACCGAGATCCGACCAACTGATGAGTTCTTGAAGACTGCTGAGTTCTTGAAGTCTTACCATTGTTGACCCCCCCGTGTGCTCATCCCGCATGTCCCAACCGTGTGGTGGTGGGTCCGCGTTTTGAAGAGCCAGCTTCCCGCGTCTCGTTCCTTCCATCCTTCCCTCCCTCCTCCCATCCGTGCTTCTGCCCTCGGCATGCTCCTGTTTCGGCATGCTCTTCTCACGCTTCGTGGCCCCAGAGGGAGCTCCACCGAAGGCCCAGTGGCGGTGTCCCACACGCGGCCGCCCCACTCAGTTCGGTACACCTCTCACACGTCTCGTGGCCCGCAGGGAACTCTTCTGGAGGCCCCAATGGCCATGTCCACAGGCGGCCGCCCCACCCATTTCGGCACACCTCACACGTCTTGTGGCCTCGTAGGGAGCTCCTCCAAAGGCCTCATGTTCCATGTTCCCACGCGGCCGCCCCGCCCACTCCAGCACGCCTCTCACACGTTCTGTGGCCTCGTGGGGAGCTCCTCCTGAGGCCCCGGTGGCCGTGCCCGCGGCCGCCCCACGCATGTTGGCACAGCACATCCCTTACACGGTTCGCGTGCCCATGGGACCTCCACCGAAGGCCCCAGTTAGGGGAGCAAAAAGTGGCATAAACATAAAAACTCGGAGGTCCGCGCGGACCTCAGAGTTTTTTTGTGTTTATGCCACTTTTTGTTCCCCTACCAGTGGTGGTGTCCACATGCGCCCGCCCCACCCATTTCGGCACCCCCCTCACGCTTCGTGGGCCCGTGGGAGCTCCACCGAAGGCCCCAATGGCGGCGTCCGCATGCGGCCGCCCCACGCATTTCGGCACACCCCTCACCCTCGTGGCCCAATAGGGAGCTCCACCGAGGGCGATAGTCACAACGGCGGCATTCGCAGCTGCATATGGTTGGGCCCTTCGCCAAGATAATTGTTCAATTGATGTGACCGTGCCTTGGGGCTCGAAAGAACGGAAAGTACTGAGCCTCACATTGCGCCCTTGGCACCCGGTTTACAACAACAGCGGCTCCTTTACTTCCAAAAATGTATTCAACATCGCGCCCTCGCCCGAGACGCCTTCAAAAGTTACGAATCGCACTTTCGCCTAAAGCTCCCATGCAAATCACTAAGGCGCTGCGTTGCCGACGTCCAGGAATCGCGCTTTCGTGCGACAGTTTTTCGTAATGCACTCGGGGCTCGTATTGTCGCCTGAGGCTGTCTCACACTTTATGAAATTCGCTTCAGTGCCTCCACCCGTTGGACCCGCCCGTGCCGCCCGACCCGCCCGTCCGGGTCCGCCCGCCCGTCCCGCTCGCTAGCTATGGTCCGCCCGTTCGCATGCTTGGAGGCCCGCCCCGCCCGCGTCCATGTCCCCCTCGACCCGCCCATCAGGGTCTGCCCGCCCGACCCCTTTCACAGGGTCCGCCCGCCCGGCACGCACGTTGGAGTCCACCCGCCCAACTTGCCCGTCACTTAGCTGCCGTGATACGCCCGCTTTGATACGCAACATGCACCGTGCTCAAAACTTCCGTGTCGATACGTTGCGTGTTGGCTCAACGTATTGGCCCGCGTTTTGGCGAACGCATCGCGTCAGACCTAGGTTTTCCGTCTACGTGTCTGCGTGCGGAGCTCCGTATCAATACGCTACGTGTTGCGTGCTGCGTATCGGGGCAGCTGAGGCCCGTCCGGGTCTGGCCTGTCGCTCGCTTGGAGTCCGCCCGCTTTGATGCCCCGCCCGCCCAGCACGCCTCCTGTTAGGGTCCGGCCGCCCGGGCCGCCCCTCAGGGCCAGACCGCCCGTCAGGGTCCGCTCCTTCCCGCTCCCCCTTCTGCCAAGTCCTCGTTGCCCTCAAGCCCTCCTCCCTTCTTCTTGCCCCCCTCCGTCCTCTGTTCCTCCTTCTCTCCTCGTGCTCTCCCTTGCCCCGTCTCCTCTGCCTCCTCGAGTTCTGGGGGCCGCGCCAACGATGCGTGGCAGGCAGGGCAAACGACGGGGGGCAGGGTCGAGGACGGAGAGGGCGGGTGTCGAGGCTTTGGGGGCATGATGGCTGCCACACGCGCAACGCAGAGCGACCAGCATTTGAAACGAGCCCAGACCCCCGACGTCATGTTACCAGCCTCGAACGTATCCCTGTCCTTAGGATTGACACGCCAAAAGGCGATGACAATCTTAGGGATTCGCCCTCAAAAAATAGGGGAATCCCTAAGATTGGCATCGTGATGAGGAGGTGTCCAGCATAGGGATAGGGATATGTTCCAGGCTGGTAATCATGATGTGTTTATTACGCGACCCGCCGGGGCCGGTGTTTCATCCTGAGTCGTTCTTCGCGACGGCCCCGAGGGCCGGTGAGGGCCTCCAGAGGCCGAAAACATAGAACAACCTTCCGCGTCGTGATTTTTTCGTGATTCGAGGGGTCTGGGAGTGTAGCTGCTGTCGCTGGCGCCGTCGTCGGCCGGCGCTCCTCGGCCAGGTCCGGCCACGCGCAGAGGGGGGATGGGGGGAGGGGGGAAGGCTTCTCAGAAGCACCCCTGCGCGGGCCTTCTCTATAGACGTTCGGCTGGCGCCTTCTAAGATGCAGCCTGCTTCTAAGAAGCCCTCCCCCCTCCCCCCACCCCCTTGTGCGCGCCGCCAAGAGGTCCCGGCGGGCCCTGAGGCCAGGAAAATCAGCTGCGTGAGCTGATTCTCAAACCCCCCTTTGCTGTCCCCCCTTTGCCCGACCCGAAGGTCCCAGCGGGCCCTGCGGCCAGCACGCGGCCGCGCTGCTGGCGCCCGTGCTGGCCGGCCGCGCGCGGGGCCTGGCGGAGGGCGTGCGGGTCCTGGCCACCCGCCCGCGCCCCCCTCCACGGCGGCCCGGAGGTCTCGGAGTCGCACGGAGAGTGGTCGTATGTTGTTGTTGTTGTTGTTGTTGTTGTTGTTGTTGTTGTTGTTGCTGTTGTTGTTGTTGTTGTTGTTGTTGTTGTTGTTGTTGTTGTTGTTGTTGTTGTTGTTGAACATTATTAATTCTAAAGAATAATTATTGTTGGGCCCCCTGGTGCGCGCCCCCCCTGCGCCGCCTAGGCCGCAGCTACATTTTCATCATTTTCGTGAGGAAGCCTCAGGTAAAACGATGTGATCCAGATCCGGTTGTTTTGTTGTAATCCGTTTTCCCTTGCAAAAAACACTATAAAATGACATTTCTTGTTCTAATATAATCAAATTTCAAGAATCCCTTGCAAAAAATAAGGTAAAGTGGACATTCGCGCGCGCAAGACGAAATCCTTCCAAAAGCTTAGTGTTCGGAGCGATTTTAACATAAAAACATCAAAAAACCAATGGTTTTTCAACAAAAAAATGTCAAAATCTCATCCCGCGCGCTCTTGCGGATTCGTAGGAAACCCAACACTTTTTAAACATTTCTGTCAAACGGGCTTTTGCGAGCAACTTTTTCGAACTTCTGCGACAACGGTTGCGCACCTGCCAGGGCCATCATCCCTGTCAAATAATACCATGCGGGACACATTCGTTTTTTCTTCGCGCGCGCACGCCGTCGTCGTCGGCCGCGGGGCCCTGAATAGTAGCCACGGTCGTCCGCATGCCACGAAGTGAAGTGTCCGAACGTCATAGGGCGGGAAGCTGGGTGTGGGTGGTGGCGAAGAGTCGTTTGGAAATTTGGTAGAGCTTGAACCGGCCCCCCCACAAAGTGGGGGTATTGCCCGCCTCCTATGAAAACCCTGGCACTGGTGAGAACGGTGTGTCCCCACGTGCTAGTAATTGTTGTTGTTGTTGTTGTTGTTGTTGTTGTTGTTGTTGTTGTTGTTGTTGTTGTTGTTGTTGTTGTATGAGTTGTTGTTGTATGTTTTGTTGTTCTTGTTGTTGATTTATTTGTTGTTTTCCAACAAGAATGAGAACACATCTCTGGGCCATGACGCGCGTTATGCCCCCTGCCCTCCCCGCCCCCCTCTCCCCTTCCCCCCCGTTAACGTGACGCTTCCCCCCCCCCATCAGTGCGTCCCCGGCACTGCCGCAGTGCGTCCAGCACCACAGTCTGGGCGGGGGAGGGGGGCTACGTTCTGCCCCGCTCTCGTCCTACCCCCATAACGCCCGCAGGGGATGGGACAGAGGGAGCACAGCGAGGGGAGAGACGAAGTGGCCAGATGTGGGCACAGTCGAGTTTCATGGCCAGGCTGACCTTGCCAAATCAAGGTGTCTGCTGTGTCCTGTGTCTGGCGTCTTCCTGGAGCAGGGATTCGCTGGTTTGGGGGCCAGATTGCCATCGGAAGGGTCACGAGTCTTGTGGCCTCTCGCACGGCGCGTCCCCTCTAATCAAACTCGGTAATAGAAAGTTAGAAAGTTCGGGGTGGGGAGGGCAGAGAGAGAGAGAGAGAGAGCACAAAACATAAGCAAACAAGCAATGTAAAAACTAGCCCGGCAAAGGACCCAACCATCTGCAGTTGTTAGTACCGCAGTTATGAGTATCGTCGTCGGTGGAGCCCACTTTTGGGCCACCAAGCGTGTGAGGGTGTGGCGGAATTGGTGTCGCGGACACCTGCGAACCCTGCCACAGGGGCCGTTGGTGGAGCTCCCCCTGTGGCGCTTGAAGGGTGTGCCGAAATGGGCGGCGCGGGCGCATGTGACTCCTGCCATTGGGGCCTTCGGTTGAGTTCCCAATGGGGCCCCGAAACGTGTCAGGGGTGTGCCGATATGGGTGGCGCGGACGCATGCGAACCTTGCCATTCCGGGCCTTCGGTGGAGTTCCCTATGCGGCCGCGAAGCGCGTAGGGGGTATGCCGAAATTGGTGGCTCGGACGCATACGAACCCTGCCATTTGGGCCTTCGGTGGAGCTTCCCATGGGGCCACGAACGTGTGAGGGGTGTGCTGGCATGGGTGGCGCGGGCGCATGTGACTCTTGCTACAGGGGCCTTCGGTGGAGCTCCCTATGTGGCCATGAAGCGCGTAGGGGGTGTGAGGAAATTGGTGACGCGGACGCATGCGAACCCTGCCACTGGGGCCTTCGGTGGCCCTCTTTATGGTACCGCGAAACATGTGAGAGGCGTGCAGAAATGGTTGGCTCGGACGCATGCGACCCTTGCCACGGAGTTTTCGGTGGAGTTCCCTATGGGGCCACGAAGCGCTTGAAGGGTGTGCCGAAATTGGTGACGCGGCCGCACGCGCACCTTGCCATTGGGGCCTTCGTTGGAGCTCCCCATGGGGCCACGAAACATGTCAGGGGTGTGCCGACATGGGTGGCGCGGACGCATGCGAACCTTGCCATTGCGGGCCTTCGGTGGTGCTCCCTATCAGAGCCACGAAGTATGTGAGGGGTGTGCCGAAACTGGTGGCGCGGACGCATGCGAACCCACGGGGGCCTTGGGTGGATATCCCCGTGGGGCCACGAAACGCTTGAGGTTTTGTGCTGACATGAGTGGCTCGGACGCATGCGACCCTTGCCTCTGGGGCCTCTGTGGAGCCCCCCATGGGGCCACGAAGCGTGTGAGTGGTGGGCCGAAACTGGGGGCGCGGACGCCTGCAAACCCTGGCACTGGGGCCTTCGGCGGAGCTCCCTATTGAGGCCACGAAGCGTGTGATGGGTGTGCCGATGCGAACCCTGCACCAGGGCCTTCGGTGGAGCTCCCGAAGGGTGTCTCGACACGTGTGAGGGTTGTGCCAAAATGAGTGGCGCGCAGGCACGGGCGGCAATATTGAGGAGGGAGAGGGGGAGCAGGAGGAGGGAGCGGGAGGAGGTTTGCGACGCAGTGCGCTGTCTCTTCAGAGTGCCCGAGTGACTGACTGAGCGAGTGTGTCAGCGAATGGCATGCCCAGACATCGGATGGATCGTGTTGTTCCTTAACCCGCGGGCCGCATTGTGCAGAGGTCTGGGCCCCGTCCCTGGACACCCCCAGGGTACGAGAACTGCAGCCCAAGGCCGAACCGCCGAGATGTGTGAACTCAGCCCGCCCGAAGAATGGGAAGAGAGAGGGAGAGAGGGGGGAGAGAGAAATAGAGATGCAACTAGAGAGAGAGAGAGAAATAAAACAGAGAAGAGGGGGATAGAGAGATACACATATACATGTACACACAAACAGCAATACCAACACCACCACCACCAACACCACCAACAACAGCAACCCAAGCACCAACAACAACAACAACAACAGCAGCAGCAACACCACCACCAATAACAGCACCACCAATAGCAACACCAACATCAGAAACACCAACAACACCATCACCAACAACACGAACAACAATCATGTTAAGGCTGTTCGCTTGTATCTGCCCGCGTGGATTTCAACACGTTTTCTCAAACCCTCGATACCCGCCCTCTTCGTCTTCGATCGTGTCCAACTCGGGGGTATACCTTTTTTTCACTTGCAATGTGTATGTCGTGCAGGCCCCAGGGCAGGGGAAGAGAGGATGGGAGGGAAGGAAGGTACAAGGGAGGGAGGAGCATGTAGCACGAGAGAGAGAGAGAGAGAGAGAACAAAAAAAAAAAGACAAGCAGGAGGGGGGCGAGAAGCAGAAACCAGGTGGCAGAACCAGGCGGGCAGATCTGGCGGGTAGGCCCCAACGAGCGGGTCGGGAAGGCGGGCTTGGGCGGCCATGACGAGCAGACGGGTTGCTGAAGCGTGCGTCCTGCAGGAATCGCGCAGAAGTCTGGAGCGACAGCGCGATTCCCAAACACATCGTGAGGAAGGCCAAAACGAGAGCGTGATCCCTGATTGTCGAGGGCGCGGCGTCTGAATAACTTGCGAAGAAGCCCCGCGCGACAGCGCGATTTCTGCATAGATCGTGAGGAAGTCCCGCGCAAGAGAGCGATTTTGCAACGCATTGCGAGGAGGTGCTTGGCGGGAGCCGTTGTGTTGTAGCTCGGGGGCCAGAGGCACATTTTGGTGACACCCCCTTCTCTTTGTAAAGCAGGAGGGTGCGAACCCCGGGAAAAGCAATTTATACTAAACACATACAATGGGTTACCGAGCAGTGGAACGTCAACATTGATTACAACAGCACCAACAACCACCGCAACAATATCCACAACGACAACCGCAACAACAATCATAACGACAACAACAGCTACTACTCATATCACTACTACTGCTGCTACTACTACTACTACTACCACTACGACTCGTACTATTATTATTATTACTACTACTACTACCACTACTACTACTACTACTACTACTACTACTACTACTACTACTACTACTACTACTAGTACCACTACTACTACTACTACTACTACTACTACCACTACTACTACTGCTACTATTACTAGTGCTCCTACTACTGCTTCTAATACTGTTACTACTACTACTACTACTACTACTACTACTACTACCACTACTACTACTGTTACTACTACGACTACTACTACTACTACTACTACTACTACGACTACTACCACTACTACTCGTACTACTGCTACGACTACTACTACTACTACTACTACTACTACTTCTACTACTACTACTACTACTACTACTACTACTACTACTACTACTACTACTACTACTACTACTACTACTACTACTACTATTGCTCGTACGACGACGACTACTGCTACGACTACTGCTACTGCTAGTCCTACTACTACTACTACTACTACTACTACTACTACTACTACTACTCCGTACTACTACGTTTACTACGACTACTACCACGACTACCACCACCACCACCACCACTATTTTCATTACTACTACTGCGTCTACTACGACGTACTATCTACGACTACGACTACTACATACTACGGCGACTACTACTACTACTACTACTACTACTACTACTACTACTACTACTACTACTACTACTACTACTACTACTACTACTACTACTACTACTACTACTACTACTACTACTACTACTACTACTACTACTACTACTACTACTACTACTACTACTACTACTACTACTACTACTACTACTACTACTACTACTACTACTACTACTACTACTACTACTACCACTACGATCACGACTCCAAGTACTACGAGTGCGACTAGTAGTCGTAGTACTACTACTACTACTACTACTACTACTATTACTAGTAGTAGTACTACTACTACTACTATTACTACTACTACTACTACTACTACGACTACTACTACTTCTACTACTACTACTACTACTACTACTACTACTACTACTACTACTACTAGTACGACGATACTACTACTGTTATTATTCCTACTACGACTACTACATGTACTATTATTGTTAGTACTACTGCTGCTGCTGCTACTACTACTACGATCACTACTACTACTACTACTACTACTACTACTACTACTGCTACTATTACTACTATCAGTACCACGACTACTACAACAACATCCATGTCAAATTGTTCGTTTTTTTTTCTGCTCGCGCGCCATTTAAAACGTTTAGCCCAAATCCTCGACATTCGCTCTTGTCGTCTTCGATCTTGCCCCCTTGGGGGTAAATCTTTCTTCCCATACAGCGTGCATTTCGTCCAGCCAATAAGGCAAGGAAAGGGAAGACGGGTGGAAGGAAGGGATAAAAAGGTGGAGGGATGAGGATGGAGCGCGAGAGACGGTAGCAGGAGAGGCGCTACGAGCAGAAAGCGCGTGCCAGAGCCAGACGGGCAGATCGGACGGGTAGACTCTGACAGGCGGGTTGGGAAGGCGGGCCCAGGCGGCCAGGTCGAGCAGGCGTGTTGCTGAAGCGTGCTTTCTGCGTGGATCGCGAGTAAGTCTCGGGCGACAGCGCGTTCCCCAACCACATCGTGACTCTTGCTTTGGCCTTCCTCACTGTGAGGAAGGCCAAAGCGAGAGCGTGATTCCTGAGTGTCGAGGGCACGGCGTTTGAATAACTTGCGAAGAAGTCCCATACGACAGCGCGATTTCTGCATAGATCGTGAGGAAGTCCCGCGCGAGAGCGCGATTTGGAAAGTCAGCACGAAGAGGTATCAGGCGGGAGCCGCTGTTGTTGCAAACCGGGGGCCAGTGGCGCATTTCGATTGAAGCATAAAACGGCTACCAGGAGGGGGGATCAACAACCTTTATTCTTGAGAAATGCGAATTCCACAGCAACACCAACAGCAGCAACAACAACAACAATCAGTTTAAGGCTGCTCACTCTTACCTGCTCGAGTGCCGGCCAGAGCGTAAATTTCAAATCCTCGATGCCCGCCTTTTTTGTCTCTGATCGTGCCCCCCTGGGGGTACCTCTTCCTTACCTGCCGCGTGTAATTGGCGCCGCCCTTGAAACAGTGGGAGAAGGGACGAACAAAAACTGGAGGGAGAAGGATGGAACACGGGATTAGCCGGACGGGGACCAAGAGCAGAAAACATGTGGCATATCCAGACGGGCTCATCGGGCGGGTATACCTTAACGGGCGTGTAGGAAAGCCGAGCTCAAGTGGCCAGGTCGAGCAGGCGTGTTGTTGAATTGTGCTTCTTGCGTGAATCGCGAGGAAGTCTCGAGCGACAGCGCGATTCCCAAAGACATCGTGAGGAAGGCCACAACGAGAGCGTGATTCCTGAGTTTCGAGGGCGCGGCGTCGGAATAACTTGCGAGAAAGTCCCACGCGAGAGCGTGATCCATGCAGAACTTGCAAGGCATTCCTTCGCGAGAGTTTGATTTTTCAGTACATCATGAGGAAATATCGGGCAGAAACCGTTGTTGTTGTTGTAGCTCGGGGCCCAGCCTGGTGGCTCCCAGCTTTCCGTTGTAGAAAAACAGGTTGCGAGCCCGACGAGGAGCACTTGAGTTGAAAATGCAATGGTTACCGGATGGGAGGGGCCAGTCACGATCTTCAAACGTATTCAGCAACCACAACAACAACTTCAACAACACCAACAACTACAATACCACAACCAACAACAACATTTGCAACAGCAACAGCAACAACACCAACAAGAACAGCAACACCAACACCAGCACCATCACCACCACGAACAACAACAACAACAACAACAACAACATCAACAAGACCACCACCACCACCACCAACAACAACAACAATGAACAACACCAACAGCAACAACAACAACAACAACAACAACATAACAAACAAAAGAAAAGAAACACAACGAAACAGAGCGAGGGAGAACGATAGAGAGAGAGAGAGAGAGAGAGAGCGGGCGAGAGGGGGCGAAAGGCAGCAGCAGCAGCAGCCGTCTGCCCCGCCGGGACCCGCGGCCCCCCCCCCCAGCAGGCGAACGCCAGGTTCTCGGCCGCGCACGACCCAGCCACGGGGGAGGCGCTGTGGGACCCCTTCGAGCAGCCGCCCGCGGTGGCCCCGGGGGGCCCCCCTCTGCGCTGCCGGGTCTCCTCGCGCCGCGGCAGGCGCCGACGTTGGAGCTGTGTGCCCAGGCATGATCGCGTCGTGAAGAGTTCAGGAGGGAGGCTTTTCACTGTTCTCTCGGCCTCTGGGGGCCCGCGCCGGGCCCTGAGAGACTGTCAAACGAAGACTCCGGATGGATGGAGGCGTTTCATTGTTTTCGGCCTCTGGAGGCCCGCGCTGGGCCCTGGGACCGTCAAGCAACGACTCGGGATGACAAACCGGCCCCCGGGAAAGGGGTCGGGACTTGCGGGAACGGCGCAGTGAAACAATCCGGACGTCGCATGTCTGGGTGGTCCCCATCGTTCTTGATTTGAGGGCCACATCTCCGAAATCCTGTCGAGCACCCACATCTATCGACGCAGTGTCTGCCAGACGCGCCAGCGAGGTGTCGAGCGAGTATGTCGCCTGCCACGGCCCGACGCGTGGAAACCCTCCAGTTTCGATACTTGCTTGGTGCTCGCAAGTCTTTCCGGTGGTCAAGGCTAAAGTAGGCTGGAACATCATAACGTTGGAGCTGGCTGGGTGTCTGAGGTTGCCCCGCCCTGGTTCCGGCCAGTCGGAAGCCCAGACCCCGTCGGGTCATGACAAAAAATCATGGCGGGGAACCTTTCGCTATCTTCGGCCTCTGGGAGCCCTTGCCGGCCCTCAGGGGCGTCAAACAACACGACTCAGGACGAAAAGCTGGTCCTGGGGAGTGGGTCCAGACCGCTGAGGAGATAGTTTTTTTGTTCATTGTTTTCCCGATCGGCGCGGGCCCTCGCACCCCCCCGTGCCCCCTTGGCTGTTTATGGTGCCTGCTTCAAGCAGGTGGAGTCTCCCCCGTTGCAAACAGTCGCATCAAACAGAGGTCCAGAGCCAGACGCCCCCCTTCCCTTTCGCCGCAGAAGAAAGAGTTCGCGAGGTGGCCCAGCATTGGTTCCGGCCAGCAGGAAGGGGGGGCAGGTTCGAGGCTCGAGGCTCTGGGTTCAGGGTGGGTCTCTGGCCTTTTCTGGCCACCGCTGGACAAAAGCGGAAAGATGTGCTTCGGAAGACCGGCAAGCAATGTGTGCGGCGTCGCGTTGGAGGCGGCTTGAGCAGCATCGCGCGCGTGCGCAGGGACCTGCGCGCCGCGTGCAGGGGCGCGCGCGTAAACCGCAGCGCGGGCGGACGCGCCAGCGCGCTCTCGCCGATCCGCGATCGCGAAAGGGCCAGCGCGTGCGAGTGCATGCATGGCGCTCGATCCTGGCCCGACAGTCATCGGGGCGACCATTTTGCGACGGCAGCGTCCATTCAGGATGCATCGCCGGTTCGTCTCGGGGGCTTCAGGGGGCCCAAGCGCGGCCGACTGCTGATCTCGCGGAGGCCCTTGACACCCGAGTTCCGAATCCTCTCGGGTTGGCGGGTGCTCACGTAACAACGTTGCGAGGAGGTACCGAGCCAGTGTTACACCCGCAAGACCTACTCCTGCAGATTTCTCACGCGCAGGTCTAGGGATGGGACGAGCTTATTTTTCTTGTTCCCTTCGCGATGAGGCTGTCGTCATAAAACTGGTCACGAGGACGGCGGCCAGCCGCGACGGCGTCGCCGTCGTCGCCCCCGTCTTCGGCGTCGTCGCCGATGCGCACCCCACGTTTGGATTACGCCCGCTGGCAGCAACGTCCTGCTCCCAGACTCGGTGTAAGGTCAGAGTGAGGGTGAGGACAAAAACACCGGACCCGATAATTTGCGCTTGCTAAACGGCCTTGGGCGTTTACCAAACAGCCCTGCCCTGTTCGATTCCTTCCTTCCCTGGGTGCGTTTACTAACCGAGTGCCCCGGATAATAAAGCCTACCCCCCCCGTTCACCCCCTCTTTTTTGTTTGTCCCGGTTCAATGGGATTTCATTGTTGAGAAGGGCGCGGAGGCCGAACTTGATGATCCACGGGGGAAGTTGCGAATCGAAGTTGCTATCATCTCATGTTGACTAGCAACAGCATCAAAAACGCTGAGCATGGCCATGGTGGTCTCACCGAGGGTGCCGAGCCTGCATGGGCGAGTGGTTTGAAGCCCAGCGTAAGAGAGGCTTCTTGGCCAGAACGGCCAAGGATCTCTCTTGCGCTGGCAAGTTGTAGCCACGAGCCTCGAGATCTCTCGAGTCAGTCTTGTGCCAAGACATACAAGGGCAGTCTACACGAGCGCCCAGGATCACCATCATCATGATGATCATCGTCGTCGTCATCATCATCATCATCATCATCATCATCATCATCATCATCATCATCATCATCATCATTATCATCATCATACCTTATACCTATCATCACATTCCCCGGGAAACTCGTTGATTATCCCCGCCAGACCCCCGAACTTTATTATCTGGGGGTGATGATTATCTGGGGCACAGGGCTAAGCGGACTCGTTTGTCGGAGTGATTACTGTAGGGGGTGGATGTTCTGCCCTCCCAGGTGTCGCATCCCCTGCGCGCCACCTTCGCCCTAGGAGCGCGTCATCGAGGCTTGACCGCCCGGCCGCTCCCGAGCGGTCGACGGGCCAGGATGCGTCGCCGCTCCCGGCGCGCGCCGCTCTCGCGCGTTTGCTCCGCGTGTTTGTTTGTATTGCGAGGGCTTTGAGGCCGGTGCCGCCGACCCTGACTGGCGACGACGACGACGACGACGACGACGACGACGACGACGCCGAGCGTTCTCGGGGGAATCTTGCTGGTAATTTGGGGGCCTCTTGGGAGGCTCTTGGGACCCGCTGGGGAGCCTCGTGGGGGCCTCTTGGGGCTTCCTGGGGCTTTTGTATTTCGGTCCTGCTTTGTAAGAGTAGGCGGTCCACTGCGTATTATCACGGAGCGGCCAGACGAGTTTGCTGAGCAGGGTGGCCTCTTGCACGGAGTTAAGGAAGATAGCCTCCACCGTTGGCGAGGGCTCACGGAGTTGTGCCGTGAGGCTGCCCAGTGGACGGGGGAGGTTCGTTCGTGGGTGTTGGACGGGGTGGTCGGGCGGGATCGCGACGACCTGGGAGAGCTCGGGGAGGCGCCAGGGGAAGCCGTGGAAGCCCATCCGGAGCAACCGCCCCCCAGTGCCTCCCGAATCGCCACCTCTGTTCCCTGCTGGCCCAGCCGACGGCCGAGACGCCTACGCCGAGGTGGGCTACAATGTCAGCAGACACCCTCTGCTGGCTGCGCGGGTCGTGGCGCGCGGCGGGCGCGAAGAGAGGCCGAGCGCCGACTCGTTGCTGCGCCTGCGTCGCCAATTTCACGGCGAGGGCCCTGTTGCGGCCCTGCGTTCGGGAGGGCGCGGGCTCAGGTTTGCAGGACCATGTCTAAGTCGGGCCTCTCCCTCTACAGGGGGAAACATCAAAAACAGTCACAAAACAGTGCGGGGACGATTTTTCTAATATTTTTGACTACTTTTGTATATTTGTTGAGTGCTTTTATAAACGAAATTGTCCAACATCAGCCTGTAGGGGGACACGCCCGACTTAATCTTAGAACGAAGCAGTGGCCGTCGTCAAAGGGCCGGAGTGGAGGACCTTGTTTTGGACTGGCCCGTCGGCGTGCCGACCGAAGCTCGAGCGCGATTGGCGCAAGCTTTCCCCCCCGAAGCGCGGGCCTTCTCTGTAGATGCACGGCTGGCGCCTTCTAAGAAGCAGCCTTTCTGAGAAGCCTTTCTCCCCCTGCCGCTCCCCGCCCCGTCCTCTTCCTCCCCTCGCAGCGTGGACTGGACCCCTTCCGTGTGACTTGGGACCATCTGTTCATCGTGCGGGGCCCGGTGAGGGCTCCCAGAGCTCGAGCCCGAACACCATCAAGAACCTCCCTTCTCACGACGGGAGGAGGTGAGGGCCCCTCCCTCCCCCTTCTCCTCCCGCCCCCTCCCGCCCCTCCCCTGCCCCGTGCGCGCCGCCAGTGTCTCCGAGGTGGCCCGTCGGACCTGTCGCAGGCCCCCTCGGGGGGCCCGTGCCTCGGCCCGGCCCCGACCCCCCTCGCCCCCACGGCTCTCGGGGGGCCCTGGCGGCGGCCTGGCGGCGGCCTCCTCGGGGGCCCGGCTGGGGCTGCCCCCGCTGCTGGGTCGAGGGCGTGCGCCGTGCACCCTTCGGGCGAGTGGCCTGGCAGAGGCCGACTTCCCTGCGGTTCAAGGGGGAGGAGGAGGAGGAGGAGGAGGAGGAGGAGGAGGAGGAGGAGGAGGAGGAGGAGGAGGAGGAGGAGGAGGAGGGCTAATTAGGCAGACGGTGGGGGGGGAGCAGGGGGGGGCGGGGGCGGCGCACCTGGCGTTGAGGATGCCGCAGGCCGCCGACGCGGGGCGGCGGCAGGGCGGCGGCGCGGGGGGGCTCTCACCCTCGCTCGCTCCCCGCCGACCGCCCTCGCCGCCGCAACCGACGACGACGACCCCGTCCCCTCTCCCTTGCAAGTCCCCTGCCCACCGTCCTTCCCACCGCAGCCCACGGATGGGGCCGAGGGGACACTGGACTGTGGAGCCCCGCCCACAGGCGGCGTGAGCGGGGCACACTCGAACTCAGGTTGCCACGCAAATTCACCATCCTCATCTGGGACGGACACAAACCTGAGATATTCATTCAGGCGGACAGGCACAGCCTCGGACGAAGGATGCCGAGGATAGGACTGGGCTCTCGAAGCCTGGGCCTGGATCTCGGCGACCACCAGCGACGAGGGGGGTCCACGGTACGAAGGATACAAGCCTTTTCGCGAGGCGGCTAAGATTCTCCCTCCCTTTGCGGGAGGGGGGAGCACAGGGGTTGGCCAGGTTGCGTCCGTCAACCGCAGCCGCGAACCTGCAAACAGCACAAAACTTCAGGCCAAAGCGAGACCACTCCCTAAGGGCGTGGGAAGGATGCAAGGCCACGCCTCCAACCTTGGTCGCCCCGCACACCGCCAGGAAACCGTCGCCGAGGCAACGGTCACAGAGGCCAGCGGAGGAGGAAGGAAGGCCAGGCCCAGCAGCCGTTGGGCAAGCCGTGGCCGCGAATTC